ATAAATTTCTACAAATTTCAACAAGTGAAGATAAGGAATTGGCTTGATTCCAACTTGTAAATTGCTACAAATTTCAACAAGTGAATTAAGGAATAATCTCGGCTTAACTTCAACTTGTAAATTGCTACAAATTTCAACAAGTGAAGAGAACTAGTAATCTCGGCTTAACTTCAACTTGTAAATTGCTACAAATTTCAACAAGTGAAGAGAACTAGTAATCTCGGCTTAACTTCAACTTGTAAATTGCTACAAATTTCAACAAGTGAAGAGAACTAGTAATCTCGGCTTAACTTCAACTTGTAAATTGCTACAAATTTCAACAAGTGAAGAGAACTAGTAATCTCGGCTTAACTTCAACTTGTAAATTGCTACAAATTTCAACAAGTGAAGAGAACTAGTAATCTCGGCTTAACTTCAACTTGTAAATTGCTACAAATTTCAACAAGTGAAGAGAACTAGTAATCTCGGCTTAACTTCAACTTGTAAATTGCTACAAATTTCAACAAGTGAAGAGAACTAGTAATCTCGGCTTAACTTCAACTTGTAAATTGCTACAAATTTCAACAAGTGAAGAGAACTAGTAATCTCGGCTTAACTTCAACTTGTAAATTGCTACAAATTTCAACAAGTGAAGAGAACTAGTAATCTCGGCTTAACTTCAACTTGTAAATTGCTACAAATTTCAACAAGTGAAGAGAACTAGTAATCTCGGCTTAACTTCAACTTGTAAATTGCTACAAATTTCAACAAGTGAAGAGAACTAGTAATCTCGGCTTAACTTCAACTTGTAAATTGCTACAAATTTCAACAAGTGAAGAGAACTAGTAATCTCGGCTTAACTTCAACTTGTAAATTGCTACAAATTTCAACAAGTGAAGAGAACTAGTAATCTCGGCTTAACTTCAACTTGTAAATTGCTACAAATTTCAACAAGTGAAGAGAACTAGTAATCTCGGCTTAACTTCAACTTGTAAATTGCTACAAATTTCAACAAGTGAAGAGAACTAGTAATCTCGGCTTAACTTCAACTTGTAAATTGCTACAAATTTCAACAAGTGAAGAGAAAAGATCATCAAAGTTCCAACTTGTAAATTGCAACAAATTTCAACAAAC